GAGGGAGGGAGGGAGGGACCAGGGACCGCCTCCCAGACCAAAAAAAGAACTCTTTGGCTTGACTCCAGCACACAGCTAGCTTCTCTGCAAGTTTTACAATTACGTTTAAGCAGAATGCAATTTCCAGGGTCTGTTTTGTCTTCAAGAGGAACAAGAAAAGAAAGATCTTTTTCTTCTCACGTCATTCTACTCTGAACTACAGGAGAACGCCAGTAAATACAAATTTCACTCTAACATCTACTATCAAATTCCTGACTTAACGGCATGCATCTGCAGCAATCTTAACCCTGGAATGCTTACTTTAATTTCAACTTGCTCTTCCATCTCTTTCGTTTTTATCGTAGTGTATTCTTTTTCAAGTCTAGAAAGAAAAGAGAAAGTTAAAGGTATGCTTTCATTCAAAAGCAATTAAATTATTTAATTTAAAAGGACATATTAACATAAAATACATTTCTTTGCTTTTCCTCGAGGTATAATTTGAAATAATTTATATGAGAAAAAATAGCACAGTAGTCAAATGGGCAGAGGAGGAAAGGTCAGAACCACTGTAGGTGACCCGACCCGTGGAGAAAACACTCCGGCACACCCTGCACACACGACAGCACTGGTAAGCTGTGGAAGTCATGCAGCGAGGGAAGCAGACGACTTTATTTTATACCAATGGGCATGAGATATCAGGGAATATGACATCATCACGGTTTCTGTACTTTGTTTTACAAGTTCTAAGAAGGAAAATAAATAGGGCAAAGAATTAACAATTGCTAAAGTTACATAGGAAATATGGATATTTATCATAATAGTCTATTTTTCGGTATATTTGAGTATTTTCCTGGTTGAAAAATAAAGTTAAAATATGGTGTGAAGCTAAGCTAATGACTAAAAACTATTCGTTCCTTTAAAATTAAACTTCATAAAAACTCTATTAGTTTTGCTTTAGTACTTTTAAGTCAAAACTCGGTGAAATTGACCTTAGAGCAAAGAGAATAAAGCATATTTAAAAGGCCAGGCATGGTGGCACACCTGTGACCCCAGCACCAAGAGGGACAAACGAGGCAGTGGCCTGGAGATTAGTCTGGGCTACACAGTAAGACCACATCACAAATAACACAGAGAAAGGGCTGGGGAGATGGATTTGCAGGCAGAGGCACTACCAAGTACCTGTCTGTAAGTGCAGACATACAGAACACATAAATGTAATTTAAAAAACAAGCAAATAGAGCTTAAAAATAAAATACAGAAAGAATAATTTATAGACTGAGGACCTGGAGGAGACGGAAATATCTTGTACTCGGAATATTGAATTAATTAGTTTAATTAACTATATTAAGTAATATAAGGGAACAAAATATTTTATTTTGAAAAAGGGAGGAGACCAGACAAGGTGGCCATACCTTTAATCCTATTATGTGGGAGGTTAAATAGGATTGTCAGAGTTCAAGGCCAGCCTGAGCTACAAAGTGAGATACTGTCTCAAAAGAACAAACATCCTGTTATAAGCCCCGCAGTTTAGAAACATGTTACACCCAGAAGCCCCATTGATGTGAATTTTAACTATCACCTTAGGCTAAGAACCATTTAAGTACTGGAAGCTAGAAAAGAGTTCTAATAGCTGTAATTCTTAATACACTAACATTTTTAAGAGAAAAAAAAATTAAGCCAGGAACTGCAAATGATCTTGAACTTGTTTGTTTACTGAAACCTGTGTCACACAAAGCTCATCCAGGAAATAAGAATAAAAAGATGAAAATCTCAATCTCTCCTCAGGGCTGCACTAGACGGGGCTGTGAGGAAGGAAACCTATGTCGGGGGAACGACTAACTTTGTTTTTAAGTAAGAAGGCTTGGTGTACAACCTGGTGGTAGAGTGTGTACTTAGCACGTACAATGCCTAGAGCCAAGAGTGATAATCGTAAATATTAGAGATAGCAGCACTCTTACACATGTCTAGCTACCATCAGGAAGAAAGGAAGGGGTTTAAAAGCAGTGTGCAGTGGTTCTGTGTGTCACTACTGAAAGCAGGGTGACAGTCTAACGTCACCCTTGCTGTACTAAAGCCAATACTACCAAATACGGTGAAAATTTTACAGCCTGTGGAGGGAAAATGTGGGGCTTTTCACAGGGACACCCCACGTCCACTGACCTGCCAAACGCCTCAATAAGCTCCATAACTACGAGATCACACAATACTTACTTTTTCATTTTTTTTGAGTTGTATTTGACTTGATAAGCTGACTGGATCAATTTGTCCGGGCCACCATCAAACTGATGTGGAACGACCTTCTGAAAATGCTAAGCAATAACAAATGAAAGCAGAATTATTACTATAAATGATTTATTAATGGCAAATCTGGAAACATACAAGAAATCATGAACTTACCTGCAACATCCCTTCCATGTCAAGTTGCATTAATTCTGTCTGATTCATTTGAAGAAGTGCTACTCCGACTCGAAACACTATTTCTAAACCCTGATGAAACAAATAAAATAAAGCCAAATTTGTTTATGCTTCCATTGACAAAAACTAATCATTCAAAATAATACCAAGGTAAGCATTTAAGGATCTAAACTAAGAACTGGCAAACACTCTGCAAAGGGCCCGAGAACAAGTATGGTCCACTTGGGCTTCACAGCTGCTCTTCCTACCGTGCAGCCCACACCAGACACACACACACAAACAGGCAGGGCCATGCTCTAAGAAAACAAATGGAGGACAGCTTTGATATGGAAACCAGAGCTGAGTAAGTAATGAACTGTTGATTGCCAACTTCAATCCTAACTAAATTAGATAAGTCACATAAACTGACAACCCAAGTACCGCGGGAAAGCCTTCACTAAACTAAAGTTAGACGCAGTTTAACTACTGGAATCCTATAGTGCTGTGGTAAAGCCTTCACGGCAGAGAGCAGTTGAACTACAGGAATCCTGTCTCACTACGTCAGAAACAGAAGCACTGTGACAGCATCAACCGTGTGGGAGAATCCACTTCTCATTTACTCTCCCTGTATCTTTTTTTTTTTAATTTTTTTTTTTTTTTGATTTTTCGAGATAGGGTTTCTCCGTAGCTTTTGATTCCTGTCCTGGAACTAGCTCTTGTAGACCAGGCTGGCCTCGAACTCACAGAGATCCACCTGCCTCTGCCTCCTGAGTGCTGGGATTAAAGGCGTGTGCCACCACCACCCGGCTCCCTGTATCTTTACGGTGATGAAGAGGATGAATTTGGAGAGATGATCCAAAACCTAGCTGTATATATCTGAATCCTGGACACAGTCCCAAGTCATGTGACATCCATGTAAGCCTCAGCTCCCATCTAGCTCCTAACAAATGGGCGTGGCCACAACCTAACCAGGAAGGTTGTTATGAGGACTGAACGAGATTAACTCACGGAAGCATTGCCATGGAGACACAAGGGCAGCTCTCTCGTTCCTCCTTGTACCACCCTGCTCTAATTAACCCAATGACTCCTTTATTCTGTCTTTATTCCTAATCTGCTCATTAGCTTACCTCAGACATAAAGATATCGAATATCCTTGTTGCGACTGGTAATGGGAATGTGGTCAGAAAGATGGTCAGAAACCAGGATGACGCGTACATTGACGTGTGGAAACTCTGAGACTGGAAGTGTACGAAGAGCTCTGGAAGATGCTCCTGGCAGAGAGAATGAGTTACAATAAAATAAACTGAGGATTTCAAGCCAGATTATCTGTAGGTAAACCTACAGCAAACAGAAAGAAGAGCAAGAATAAGAGAAAAATGCAAATACAGAAATGAAACTTTGTCATAAGCAGCAAAGGACAAGGCAACAATGTACAGCTGGAACATCAGGTACATCTTAGCATTTGATTCACTAATAAGAAAAACTACATCATAGCCAAGGTAAATTAAACCAAGTATCATCCATCCAACCACTCGTTGAGCAGCAAATAAAATGTTTATTTCTTTTCATCTTGTTGGTGAGTACAGCTGTCCAATATCTTCTATATTTTTGCTAACTATAATATTTCTTAAAAATTCCTAAGTAAATGCCATGCTGAAACTTTTAAGTACCATATACCATCAGCCATCCGTCTTTGCCTCCTACAGAGTAGGAAAAATACAAGATCTTCAACAATGTCTTAACTCCTAGCACACCAAGAGTTTGAGGTTTGTATCAACAAACAAAATTACTATTTCAGAAAAAACAATTATCACATGATGTATTCTGGTTTTCTTAAAATGTAAAAACAATTTCATATCCTATTCTTCATACAACACAGGATTTCATAATTCCAGAGGAAGGTGGTTGAAAACTGCTTCTTGTGCCAAAACGATGACCCACACCCTAAAACTCTTTCCATCCAACTGGAATGCAAATAAAGGAGAACACTCCTACCTTCCTATTACAGGATGGTAAAGTAAGGTTATTTATTTTAAATGAAATTTAAAATTAAAGAAATAAAAATTATGGGATAAAACCGGACTCGCTGAACATAGCGGACAATGAGGACTACTGAGAACTCAAGAACAATGTCAATGGGTTTTTGATCCTACTGCACGTACTGGCTTTGTGGGAGCCTAGGCAGTTTGGATGCTCACCTTACTAGACCTGGATGGAGGTGGATGGTCCTTGGACTTCCCACAGGGCAGGGACCCTGATTGATCTTTGGGCAGAAGAGGGAGGGGGACTTGTTTGGGGGAGGGGGAGGGAAATGGGAGGCAGTAGAAGGGAAGAGACAGAAATCTTCAGTAAATAAATAAATAAATTTTAAAAAAAAGAAATAAAAATTAAATCCAGAAAAGTAAAAATTTCCAAAGACATTTTCGCTGGGTATGGAGGCACACACCTTTAATCCCAACACTCAGGAGGTAAAAGCAGGCAGATCTCTGTGAGTTTATGGCCAGTGTGGGCTACACAGCAAGTTCTAGGCCAGCCAAGGCTACACAGTGAGGCCCTGTCTTTAAAAAACACTAATCGATTTGCACTTGACTAATCCCAGTCTTCCTTTTCTCTTCACCTTGACGTGTTGGCTTCTAGACAATCTCAATCTGAGGCTGGTCACATCAAATTATGGAAACATGTAGGGATAAGTCCCGCCCCCTAGGGGGCGTGTTCGCCTCGGGCTAATGTTAGCCTATAAATTTGGTGAGCATGCTCCCAGACACAGCTTCTGCTTTCCTGGTCTCTGCAGGAACAGTGGTTCTGTAAGTCTATTTCTCCATTAAAGCTGTATATATTTTAACAATCTGTCTGCATTCATTTACGCCGTTACAGAAACATGCAAAAAAAAAAAAAAATCATTAGATTGGGGGCCAAGATGCAAAGAGAACGGAGGGAGGGAACATGACAGTGCGGAGTCTCAACAGTAAGTGAGCTGGCTTCCCACACAAGCACTCAGAACAGCACACAGCAGGAGCAGAAGCACAGCACCTAAGTACAGGGCACGTGAGGCCAATGCAGAACGTTTCTAAGAGCCCCGAGCATGACCAACAGTCACCCTGGGATGAGATCACTGACTGCGTTCTCAACTGATGCTATGCTTTTTTTTTTAATGTGTTTAAGAATTTTGCTTGCATTTACCTATGTGTATGGTGTGTGCCTTGTGTGCCTAGTGCCCACACAGATCAGAAGGCGGCACCAGAATCCCTAGAACAGGAATTGCAAACAGTTGGAAGCCACCACGTGGGTGCTAGCAATCCATCCAGGTTCTCTGCAAGAGCAGCAAAGGTGCTTTTAACCACTGACCCATCTCTCTCTCCAGCACTTGCTTCTATGATTCTGACGCAGAATTTGCTAAGATCACATTGAGAAAGGGGTAAAAAGGTAAAGAGAACGTTTACCTGTATCATGCATTCAAACTGGTACATACAAAGGCCCAATTCTGCCATGCTTGGTTTAAAGAGTTCACGAAGTCTGTAGTCTTGCATTAATTTAACAAACACACAAAAAGCTTCTTCTTCTGGCATCTATTTTAAGAAGAAAAAATAGTAACACAGTTTAACATTTCACAATACACAAGTAAGCCAAATCAAATTATAAAAAAAGTACCACTCAATAACAAAGTTTCTTTTCATTTCTTTGAAGTTTATGTGTTTTCGTGTACAAGTGTTCACAGAGGCCAGAGGTCATCCCTCAGTGCCATTCCTTGGGCTCCATACATCCTGTTGTCTTGAGACAAGCTCTCTCGGGTCCTGGTTCACGGAGCAAGCCTTCCTAGCACTGTGAGTGCAGGCATCACCACACTACGCTTCTTTATGTGGAGTCTGAACGCTGAATTAAGCCCACAGTGCTTTCAGTGGTCAGAGTGCAGTATAAAGAGCAATGGATAAGAATCAGGACGTTCCAGGCTTCCATTCTGAGAATCAGACAATGACTCTTGCAAACTCTGAGACTAACTGCCACCACTTGTCTAATTCATTAACTTAATCAAATGTGTGTATGTGAATATATACATGTATGTGTATATGTGCATACACACATACCACGTCTATGGTCATGCCACCCTAAATAGGACCTATTTCATCTAACCAACAAGTATTCATTTATAGCTACATACTGTTCTCTTTCTAAATATAAGAACAGCAGCAAGGAAAACATTTAAGCTTTACTCAAGAGGAGCTCTCTAAGATAAAAACAGGTTATGTGCAGACTAAATCATAGCTATGTCAGTGGTGATGAACCCTATGGAAAATAAACTGGAATAACAGAACGCTGGGGAGACAAATGTTCTCTATGTAAGTCGGGAGTGGACCTTAATAAAGCAAATTTTAAGCAAATGAGGAAAGGAGATTCGAGACCATCTGAAAAAGAACAGTCTTGGAATACAGAGAGTACAAAGGCCCTAGATAATGGTCCCATAGGCTCATGTATTTGAATGCTTGGTCCCAGTTAGTAGATCTAGAAAGGCCTAGGAGATGTGGCCTTGTTGGGAAGAGGTGTGACTTTGTTGGCAGGTGTGTCAACAGCCCACACAACGTTCTCCCTCCCCACTCTCCCCCTCCCCCTCACTTTCCTCCCCAGAGCCATAGCTGTCTGCCTGCCTGTTCCCACACTCCCCACCAGGATGGTCATAGACTCTGAAACTGCAAGCCCCATTTAAATGCATTCTTCTATAAATTACCTTGGTCATGGTGTCTCCTGACAGCAACAGATGCTGGCATGCTTGGTCAGCAAGCAGGAGACACTAAAGTCAAGTTATCCCCTTGTATACAGTAAAACCTACACAAGAAGTACTTAACAGATGCCAAGCAGAGAATATAAATTAATGAGATTAAACTTATATTGCTTTTAAAAGTTCATGAGTAAAGGAGTTTAAAGAAGAAAAAAATGAAACCACACACACAGGCTCTGGAAGCCGCACTGTAATTTTTTACTTTGACTTTAAGACAACTGGAAAGCTTTGGGGATTCTGCACAGAAAAGACACACGATATAATTACCAAAAGAACTTCTATGCTTTAAAATTAGCTGCAACTGGGTTTTAAAAGTATAAATCACTATGAAATATTCAATAAGAAAATAACTCAAAAGGCATTCAAAACTCAGGCAAAGCACCCACAAGGGTGGATAACTTTCTCAAAATAATACAGTTTTCTAATCTTCATTTATAGTCTGTGAATGAATTTCAAAAGAGGATGTCCCCCAAAGATCTCTCAGTACCTCTTACTGAAGACAGCTGTGAATGGCAAAATGCATTTTCCCCCAGCTGAACCAGCCAGGGGCAGAAGGCAAACCGGCATGTCCTTCCTCTGTCTGAAGAGAGTCGCAGTTCTGCTGTGGAGACCATCCCTAGCAATTCAAGTCCTAAAGCCCCACTGACTCGCCAATCGCTGCAAGAGGCACGAGATCCCAGTCCCTCTTCATCTCGATTTCCAACCCCACTCTGATCCTCCAAGGCATTCTCCAGGATTCCCATCTTTCAGAAACACGCTGGGCCTCCACAGACTTCACTGCTCTACCAACTCCTTAGTCATCGGCACTGAGACGAACTCTAGCTTTTGACCTCCTTTCCTCCAGGGAGCATGGCAGGCAGTTACTATCTCAGCCTCCACAGCCACTCCAAGGGCTAAAGTCGGTTTTCTACTTCTTGTGTGGCCATTTCTCCAAGACTGAAATATACTCTTGTGGAGGGGCAGGAGTCTCCTGAAACACGAAACTCAGAAGACTCAAGGCCACTTACATAGCCTCCTGACGTTACACCATCAGGGACCAACTGGAGGGAAAGAAGCCTTTGGTGGTATAGCCACTTCACAGGAAACTCCAGCTATGCAGCTCCACAAGCTGCAGCAACACTCACTCTTCAAGGAGGAAAACATAGACACACAGCAGAGATGAATACTGTTATTTCAAGTTAATATAAAAGAAAAAGGAATAGATTTGTGGTAAAAATCACTAGACTGATAATAATTGTATTTGACTTTAATAGTAAAAAGATCTACTACTGACAACCATTTATAAATCAGGACAATCAGGACTTTGTGGATGTTCTAAATACATCAATATTAATATAGCTACTTTTATGCTATATAAATTATAGCCCAGATTTAGTTAACATGGAAAAATATCCTAGAATCACCACTGGAGTTCTTACTACACATGGTAAGTAGTAGCCAGCTTGTTCATACTGTGCCCTGAACGGAGGGATGGAGACCAGGGACAGAGCAAGAGAAGAGCAGGTGCTTAGTGCGTATGAGGCCCTGGGCTCCATTCCCAGCACCTGAGCAACAGACAAACTGAAGAGAACAGGGATGAAGAAGGAAGTCCTGACACGGAACTTTTAAAGTCAGATAGTAAGGAAGTAAAATACCAGGAGATTTTGGTTCCTACTCTGCTTTCATCTACTCAAGACGGACAAAAGCCACTGAAGTTTTACTGCATGCCTCACACGTGCCATACACCACGCAGACTCTCGCAAACCGTCCAGACGAAAACAAGGCCGTCTGAAACGGGAGTCTAAGCTCACAGGCTGAGTGCAGAACTGAGACACAAACCACAGCCACACACTTCAAATCAAGCCACTCTCAGGACTTCCATCAAGGCTAAGGAGATGAATGTATACACCATATCCCTTTCCAATTTTAATTGCCATGCCCCTAAATTCTAGGAGCATTCTACCCAAACCACGCCCAAATCAGCCAATGCCAATGTTGTATCCCCGGGACAGTAAAGGCAGCTGAGTATCATCAGTTCAGTATGATATAAATAACAAGCTGATGGGAAAAGCCTTGTTAACCAATAATCTTTAAGAGGTGGAACCTAGTCTAGGCGTGGCTTTCTGGGACCAGGAGATAAAAACCTGTGCACCACCCAGGAGTGCTCTGTGTAGTTTCCCCGGTGGTCAAGCAGGGCCTGGATCTTCTGTGCCTGTGGCGTGAGTTTTCCCCCTTATAATAAATAAAATATATTTGTCTATCTTTAATCTAGCCTGGTTATTTCCATATCAAGGTAACAGCGACAATAAGCCTATAGCTAAATGATATATAACACTCCTAAATATATTTCCAAACATGTTCATAACATAAATAAGATTTTGTAAGAAACTTTTATTCTTATTTTTGGTTGGAAAAAGATTACTCCCAATGAAATGTTGACAAGTAAAATTTTAAAAAAAACGTAACAAGTTCTTGTAGAATATCTTGGTACAATCGTATATATTAAGAAATGAGCCAGGTGGTGGTGGCACATGCCTTTAATCCCAGCACTCGGGAGCCAGAGGCAGGTGGATATCTGTGAGTTCAAGGACAGCCTGGTCTAGAAGCTAGTTCCAGGACAGGCTTCAAAGCTACAGAGAAGCCCTGTCTCAAAAACCCAAAGGGGAAGGAGGAAGGCAGGGAAGGGGGAGGGAAGGAGGGAGGAAGGGAGGGAGGGAAGAAAAAAAAAGTAAGTGGCGTTGGAAAGACTGTTCAGCCCTTAGATCTCATCTTAGTTCGAGCCCCAGCACCATGTCGAACAGATCAGAAGTGCCTGTAACTCTACCCCCAGGAAATTCAGTACCCACTTCCAGCCTCCACAAGCACTACAGGCATGTGCACAACCCCCCCCCCACACACACACATAATTAAAAATAAAAATAAAATACTGAAAAACGTAAGAAGAGGCAGAAGCTGGGGGAGCTAGCAAGATGGCTCAGCAAGTAAAGGCACCTGCCAAGACCAATGGCCTGAGCTTCATTCCTGGAGTCCATATGGTGAATAAGAACCAGCTCCTGCAAGTGGTGTCTGATCTGCATACATTTGGGCACACACATAGTGTATGTAAAAAGTACTTGTGATTATTTTTCTTTTATTTGAGACAGGGTTTCTCTGTGTGGCTTTGGTGACTTCCTGGAAGTAGGGCTGGGATTTAAGGTGCCACCACCACTGCCCACATTATTTTCAAGGCATACAAAGCCTGGGTTCAGTTTGCAAAGAAGGAAGTAGGAGGAAGGAAAAAGAACAGAGGGAGGAAGAGGAGTGCAGGAGCTGAAATCTCATTTGGTAGCAAGAGTATTACTGTATGTCATTTTACTTTCAAAGTGCCAAAGTAAATCACTATGTACACTACGTTTAGGGAGATGACACAAATCTGCTTAACTCAGGAAAACAGGAGACGGTTTTTTAATTCTCCAGTTGACGTTAAGAAATGTAGACACAGTTGCTGTTTGCAGGTGCGAACTCACCTGCATAAGCAACAATCCCACTATGAAAGCACTGCCTTGACAGTAGCCAACCTCACGATCCACCAAGGAGTAGGCCTAGAAAGTAAAACATGGTGTTCAAAACACTTCAACGTGCATATTCTTCCTTCTCCAAAACCTAAAATTGGTGAGACAGTTAAATTAAAAGTTCATTTATTTGTTTACAAAAGCTCTTGCTTACTTGTTACAGATGTTATTCTATAAATATTTAAAAAGCAAATGGTTTATTACATAAAATTTCTCTGGACAATTTCTCACTTAAAAGTGGCAGCTCCTAAGAGCAAAGGAAATAAAGCAATTCATACTCAGAAAAGCGACAGCTATCGGACAGAGATAAACACAGTACGGTGACGACAAACAACAAAATTCAAATAACTTAAGAAACTGGTATTTCAGAGGAAAATGGGAGGGGGACTATGAAAATGCAATATTAAAAAGGCAACGGTAAATTTTTAAAGGGCTGAGCACGCTTAACAAGTAAAGTCACTATCGCAGACCACAAGGTTGATGCATATGAAGTACGCAAAGGCAGGTGAGAGGAGGTTAGTTTTTGTCAACTAACACTAAATAATGTGATGAATTTTTCAATTAGTTCTCCAAACTACCGACAATGATGCATCAGAATTAAAGCAGAAAGTATTCTAAAACTAAGTCTACTGACCAAGAACCTGAGTTCGTGCTTCATTATGGAAACATGTAATATCAACCTCCTTCAAACTCACTTCACTTCAAAACATGAGTAACTAGCACCTACCTTCATCACATTAAATAAAACCTCCTGTCCAAGGCTGTCTTTTTCCTTAAAAAAATTGTGCTCTGGGTAAGTTCGAGCAATGTCTCTTCGGATCAGTTTTTCACAAGGTGAAGTCATTTTCAGGAGTTCTGAATACTGGTCCTTAATTGACATACTCTGTGCGTTACATAAAAGCTGCCAAACGATTGCTCTGAAGTGGTGGGGTATCCCCTTACGAACAAGCTCCTGAAAATGAAAGGAAAGCACAACGTAAATGTCTCACACCTTGCTACCCAACCGCTCTGGGGCGGAGTGTTTATAATTTACAAAGCTTGTTTACTAGCAAATATGAAATTCTTTAAAGAAGCCTGAGATGTGACCCTTGGGTACGTTCTGATCAGGAGGAGCTACAGAGCCATGGATAAACCGTCATCCAACTGGGAATGTAGGGCCTTAAGGACCTGTCAGTCCACATATCAAAGGGCTGCTGGGGAGAAAAGGCAAATACTGATACAGAATGTCATGACTTCATTTCTGAATTAACAACATGGGAGTTTAACTGATTTCTAAAAATAATATTTAATTGTGAATGTCTACAATTTCAGGATCCCTACAACAGCCCACAAGCACAGATGATAAACACATACAAAGCAAACCTGTTCGCAACACAGCTCAGAAATTCCTAGAATCCTTCTGCTTTTCCTAATTCCCTACTAATTCACACCTGGTCCTCTCCAGGGTGAAGAAGAGAACTTCAGTGAAGAACGCAAATACCTTCACTTGCTTCTCTTTTTTCTTGCGTGCATCATCCCATTCATTCACAATTCTTCCCCACAGAATCCAAGAGTCTTCTTCCAGGTGACTGAGGTTGCTGGAGGCAGAGGAACTTGATACAAGAGAAGAGCCACTGTTTCTTCTTGACCCATTCACAGATCTTAAAGACTTGCTATCCGTCTCTATCAAGCTAAAACAGAATTAAAATTGTTTAAGTATCATCTCACACGAAGCTAGATAAAGTAGGGATTGCATTTAAAACTTCACTAAATAATTCGTCTTAAAACATGGGTTTTAAAACATATTCGGTTAGTTGGTTAGTTTTCTGAGACAGGGTTTCTCTATGTAGTCCTGACTGTCCTAGAACTCACTTTGTAGACCAGGCTGGCCTCGAATTTAGAGCTCCCCCTGCCCCTGCCCCTGCCTCTGCCTCCCGAGTAGATTAAAAGCATGCACCAGCAAGCTGGCTTTCAGATAGAGTTTTAACAATTTTTGTTTGGTTGAAATCAGCACTGTTGTATTTTTTTACTATACACAGCAGTTTCAAAAACTGAATTGGGAAGGTGTACTACACGCATTCTAGTACTATCAGCCCCATTATAATTCATATTCATTTCCACTGAGTTCAGTGGGAGGCTCCTGACTCCACACATGAGCACACACACAGCAGGAGAATAGACTCCCCGCACCCTCCTGACTCCACATGTGTGTTGCAGGAACCATCCGTCCCTCCCACACACACATGTACACCAAATACTTTAAAAAAAAAAAAAAAAAAAAAAAAAAGAAGGGAGCCCAGCACAGCTGTGTTCAGCTACTCAGGAAGCTGAGGCAAGAAGTTCACTTAACCCCAAGAGTTTTTTTTTTTAACTTATTTATTTATTATGTATACAATATTCTGTCTGCATGTATGCCTGAAGGCCAGAAGAGGGCACCAGACCTCAGTACAGATGGTTGTGAGCCACCATGTGGTTGCTGGGAATTGAACTCAGGCAACGCTCTTAACCGCTGAGCCATCTCTCCAGCCCAACCCCAAGAGTTTTTAAGGCCAGCCTGGACAACACAAATGAAAAATCCTTATCTCAAAAACAGTCCAAGGACCAATGAAACGGCTCAAAAGGTAACAGTACTTGCTGATGACCCGAGTTCAACTCCTGGGACTCACATGCTAGAAGCAGAGAACCAATTCCCACAAGTTTTCTTCTGATCTCCACACTTACGCCCCCTCCAATGAATCAATCAATGGATAGATAGATGTAATTTTAAAATGTTTTAAATTCTGATTAGTAAATGGGAGTGGGAGGAAGTGGCCCCAAGAGAGAAAGGACATATATTTGTAGAAGATTCAACAGAATCTACAGATTTACTAATCCTTAAATCCTACCAAGTATACTGTGTGGCCAGACCTAAAAAGTAATGATCAACCAAATCCCTTCTTTTTTTTCCTGTTTCACACATGTATAACTCATCTATACACACACACACACACACACACACACTTACAAATATACATTGTAAAGATATGGCCAGACCAGGCTCCGATTCCTAGTCAGTAGTAACAGGATCACAGCAAGCACCCACCCTCAGTACTCCCTCAGCCCACAGTCCAGGTTAACCGATAGCTTTGACTAGCTTGCTCTAAAGCTGGGGTTTTTCTCTTAAGATTCCTGTTGACTTCTGAGTTTGCAGCCCTGTCTTAGGCTCCTCTCTAAAGAAAGGTGATTAAGGGAATGAAAACCATCTATTCCATAACTCATTACAAGAGTAAGTCCCGAATTACAATTGCATACTCATGATATGAAGTCTAGGAAATGCGCTATAAAAATATAAATTATAAATGGTTCAGATAGGAAGAACCTAAAATGTTTATTTGTTTATTTAATTCACTTCAGTAAATTCTCAAGAACAATCATCTGTTTGGGGTATACAAATGTTCTCAGTACTATTTTAAGAAATAGGAAAAGTGAGGCTGAAAAAGAAACATGAGTCAATTCCTATACCTTCTGGAAGTCAGACTTATAACACATGCTACAGCCCTTATAGTATTTAGCCCACTGCAAGCACATTAAGCCAAAAGAATGTTATAATCTCAGAGTTTTGAAAATCCTGTACATTCTAGACATGCCACAATGTATGAAACCATATTATAAATTATAAAAACAATTTTTATCCTTATTTGGAGAAAAATACTATATTTCCATAGCAACAATAATTTAAATAACTTTAAATTTCCCCAAATATTGTTATAAACGAAGCAGAAGGGAAGATAATGAAGTAGGCGATAAGCACCTGAAGAAGATTCGATGTCTTTAGACAATGCAGAAATGTAATCTAAACCACACCAACTACACATTAACATAGCTACAACTCTCAAGTCTCAACACACAAAATGTCAACCAGCACAGAGCTAATGTGACTCCCACAAACCAGTATCCGAAGTATAAAATGGACATGAACCTCCATTTCCTGGGACCCCACCAAACACTGCAGCAGACACAGCTGCCCCTTCGTGTGGGACCACAACCAGCCTGCAGGATACCCACTTACAACTACACGCCACCTTTCTGTGTACACAGGATTCCCTTGGATCTTTCCCGAAGCTGCTCTCAGCCTTTGCTCCTAACCCACCTCTCTTCCTCTCTGCCACCCACTGACCTAAGAAGCACTCCCTCAATACCAGGGAACCCACAGCTACCACACTCGATAGCTGTATACAGAAGAAAGCAACTAAAACTATAGCTAGGTCCTTGCACAAGACTCTACTCCAAACAGAACCAGGATATACAGTTACAGACAGACAGTTGGGGGGGGCTGAAACAAAAGGATGGAATGTCAAAGAAGGACACCGAATATTAAGGGATATTTGAAGGGTCTTAAGAAACCTATTTCTCGGAAAAAAAAAAAAAAACAAAGGCCGGGCGGTAGTGGCGCAGGCCTTTAATCCCAGCACTCGGGAGGCAGAGGCAGGCGGATCTCTGTGAGTTCGAGACCAGCCTGGTCTACAGAGCTAGTTCCAGGACAGGCTCCAAAGCCACAGAGAAACCCTGTCACGGAAAAAAACAAAAAAAAAAAAAAAAAAAAAGAAACCTATTTCTATAGAAACTACTTAAAGAAATTTATGTACGTATATATAAAAAGAGATCTAAATGGAGTGCCCCAGCTAAACATCTCTCATCACCAAACCATACTTCCAGTGCCAGGAATGGGTTCCATTCCCAAGGGAATAGTACCCTGCCTGCATATAATGCTAGTGCAATAGTACAAACGTTGTGGACCAAGTCCATGAGCTGCTCTAATAGTAGATAGGCCATGGGCCCATAGGAAAACCAAACACTGTTCTGCTAAAGTAACATAGCAACAGAATGAGCTTTCACGACGTTCTGCTGCGCACACAGATCAGTGTTCAGTATCAGAGAGGCTTCCTTGCAGTAGACAGAACACAGAGACCCAATCTGGAAAATGTACAAACAGTGAACGACCCTGGACACTCAGTCCTGAATGGGATGTCTTCAGCGCTACATGGAAAAGGAGGCAGAAAGACCCACAGGGCTCGTGCACTGTCAGCACGCAGAGAAGTCTGCACCGTCCAGGTCAGATAAAGGTCCCCGAGCCGAGAGGTGTCGTGAACATGATCTCCAACCCCTAGCCTAGAAGTTCTCTCCCACTGACAGCACTTGCAACGGGAAAATTAGTTTCCAACCACGGGCTCTCACTAGTTAGATGACCCACACCTAGGGGAGCGTCCATGCTCAGCACTAGGTGGCCAACACTAACAATGGTATTTTATGATTTGTCTCATACTGCTTTGAGCATTTTTTTTGTTATCTTCCTGGTTTTTTTTCTTGTGTATTATGGCTTCCAATTTTGTGTTATTATGGATTTTGTTTTTATATGTGTTTCTTGTGCTTTTTAGTTTCTGCTGTTTATTCTGATTTGATTTTTTTTTTTTTTTTTTTTTTTTTTTTTTTTTTTTTTTTTTTTTTTTTTTTTTTNTCTGTGGTTTTGGAGCCTGTCCTGGAACTAGCTCTTGTAGACCAGGCTGGTTTCAAACTCACAGAGATCCGCCTGCCTCTGCCTCCCGAGTGCTGGGATTAAAGGCATGCGCCAAAAGAAAGCGAGAAGGGGGCTAGAGGGATTGCTTGGTGGTTAAGAGTACTGCCTGCTCTTCCAGAGGTCCTGAGTTCAATTCCCAGCAACCACATGGTTGCTCACAACCATCTGTAATGAGACCTGGTGTATATGCAAGCAGGCAGAACACTGTATATATAATTAATAAATAAATATTAAAAAAAGAAAGCAAGAAGGCATAGATTTGACACTGAAAACGTAAATGCCTATTATTACTGAAAACTTTTCAAAATGTTTAAAATGATTTTAATTACTTAGTGAAAGATTATTTTGGTACCCTCTGTAAAGAGAAGAGGTGTGAACACTTATCTGCACTTGGAATTCTCTTAAAAATTCTTTAAAAAAATAAAATTCTTTTGTTAAAAAATGAAGAAGTCCTCCGTCTGAGATCTGAAACATTTGTGGAAGAGGTGATACATCAAGTCTCTTCTCAGAGAGCTGCATTCATTCACGGTTTGTTCAAAGAAAACCCCGGGTAATTTGGTAACCTGGTGACAGCTGCATCACGACATCATAGCACAATACATTATGACTTTATGATGGCGATGTTACAAAAGAAAAACCCTACTATGCTACCAATCCCATCATCCTCGACCAACTGTCACCCTCCCAGGCTGTCCCGCCCGCGTCGGTCTGTGGCACCAGGCTGCGGCCAGGCTGTGGGCACGAGCCCGGGCAGGGGCTCCGGCGGAGGGATCCGCGGAGGCGAGGCTTCGGTCTCTTCGGTCTCGGAAGAAGAGACCGCTTCTGCGGCAGCACAAAGGGGGCGGCTGCAGGGTGATGTGCCAACCGCTGTGAAGACAGATACTGCGTCCACTGTGGCTGGACCGGAAGCTGAGCGGGCCTCGGCTCTCTGCACATCCTGCCAGGGCCAGGCCAGAACTGCCCACCTCCTCTTCGGCAGCTGATACACAGCCGACAAGGCAACCTCGGGCCCTGCCTCGGTCCACCAGGGGCCCACCAAGACAGCCTTCCGCCCACCATGGCTCTGAAGAGAATCCACAAGGAACTGAACGACCTGGCGCAGGATCCCCCAGCACAATGTTCCGCAGGTCCTGTCGGGGAAGATATGTTCCACTGGCAAGCTACCATCCTGGGGCCAAATGACAGCCCTTATCAGGGCGGAGCATTTTTCCTGACGATTGATTTCCCAACAGAGTACCCCTTCAAGCCACCTAAGGTCGAATTTACAACAAGAATTTATCATCCAAACGTCAACAGTAACGGCAGCATTTGTCTTGATATCCTTCGCTCACAGTGGTCTCCAGCACTGACTATTTCAAAAGTGCTTCTGTCCATCAGCTCCCTGCTGTGTGACCCCAACCCGGACGATCCCCTTGTGCCTGAGATTGCTCAGATCTACAAGACAGACAGGGAAAAGTACAACAGAACAGCTCGGGAATGGACTCAGAAGTACGCCATGTGACTAAAGAGATTATTGGATATCCTCTACACGTCAAGGCTAGGAGAACTCGGAATGAGAAGGCCTTCTGGTTCCCACTGGACTGTTTGCTATGAACCACGCTGCACCCGCTTCATCCTTCCCGGTGCAGGTTCTCCACCTGACACAGTACTGCTGCAAGCTGTACTTCTGTACCAACACTGTCTCCTAGCACAGTAACCAAGATGTGAGATTAAAAGTTTTCCTCATTGACTTAATGTGAATAGCCACAGTGTGAGGGGTGGTGGTGCACCACACTGCTTAGAAGGGGTAAAGCTCCATCAGCCGGTAGGAGATGGTGAGACTGCTTTTAAGTGGAAGCCATTTAAATTTTAAAAAGTTATGAAAAGCTGGGTGAATAATGCGAAAGTTTCTGTATTCGTTTTATTCCATAACACCTAGAATTAGATGAACCCTAAAACCAACCAGATTAAATCCAACCCACCTCCAGTATTTTAAGGTCTAATTGGTCAAGAAAACTAGATTGGTGCTATTAGTCTATAAAGTGTGATTGGCTTTGTTCCCAAATTCTTTATATCCCGACTCAGCCTCCTTTCTTTCAGTCTTTCTCTGCATGTTCCTTGGTGTATTTGTGGTTTCTCGGTAGATACATACAGATCACTAATAGTACTTATTTTTCTTATGTTAACTGCTTAATCCATTTGGATTTAAGGGTAAAAATTCCATTTGATGAAAAAAACTCTGTATAAAGACCCAATTGCTCCTTTGTAGCTTGTGCATTAAAGAATGATTAATCTATGTAATAAACCAACTCCTCCATCATTACATATGTTAATCTGTGTAATAACCAACCGTTCCAGACACTGCATAAATGTTAATCTGTGTAGTAAACCAACTATTCCAGCCATTACATGTTAATCTGTGTAATAAACTCTATTCCAGCCACTGCATAAATGTTAATCTGTGTAATAAACTCTATTCCAGCCACTGCATAAATGTTAATCTGTGTAATAAACTCTATTCCAGCCACTGCATTATTGTTAATCTGTGTAATAAACCAACAGTTCCAGACATTGCATAAACTATGGTCTGTGTGATAACTGTTCCAGCCCCTGCATAAATGTTAACCTGAACAGCTCCAGCCACTGCATACATTTTGTATGAGTAGGTATTTTCGCTTTAAGAACCTTATTTGGTTGAAATTAGTAGATTTTTTCATTCAGTCTTTACATGCTTTTATTTAGATTGATCACATTTTCAAATCATGAAACAACTTCAGTTTATAGCTAAAAAGACACCTTAAAAGTAATTTTAGCTTACCCAGAAGGCAGCGCTTCGATCTCAGGTCATCATGGCGGGCAGACCTGCTGTTGCAGCATCAAGCAAATGGCTGGATGGTTTTCGAAAATGGTATTATAATGCTGCTGGATTCAACAAACTGGGTTTAATGCGAGATGACACACTACATGAGACTGAGGATGTGAAAGAAGCTTAAGAAGGCTTCCTGAGCATCTTTATAATGACAGAATGTTTCCAATTAAGAGAGCCCTGGACCTGAGCATGCGGCATCAGATCTTGCCTAAGGAGCAGTGGACAAAATATGTGGAGGACAAATTCTACCTTAAACCCTATCTGAAAGAAGTTATTCGGGAAAGAAAAGAGAAAGAAGAATGGGCAAAGAAGTGATCTTGTGGTTGAGATCTGTGAATGTGCCTGGTCTCAGCATATTCTTATGAAGTTGTTTCAACCTGAATCACAATTTAAGAATTATTTGTTCTGCAGATGTCTCACTTTAAATAAATGTGTATTGAAGCCAAAAAAAAAAAGTAATTTTAGCCAGGCATGGTGGTGCATGCCTTTAATCCCAGCACTCAGGAGGCAGAGGCAGGTGGATCTCTGTGAGTTCGAGGGCAGCCTGGTCTACAGAGTGAGTTTCAGGACAGCCAAGGCTACCCAGAAATACCATCTCAAAAATAGAAAAAAAGTAATTTTATTAAATATGATAGAGTCATAAGTTTAAGGCCTTATGAAATAATATATAGCCTCTGAGGAAAAAAAGCTTAAATAAGAAACCTGCTTTGTTAATGAAACTAAGTTGCATTATACCCAAACCTCATGGCATTCTTTGGTACATACATAAAACACAAAAACAATACTGGTATTGAGTTAAAAAAAAAAAAAAACTTTGACTAAACTTAGAAAACAACACCACTGTACAGTTGGGATGTCTCCATAATTACTTTGCACTAACTTTTACTGGATGTCCACCCAATTTTAAACTGTGCTGTGTATGTAGTTTTTGGTGTGTGTGCGTGCGTGCTGTATGTAGCTTGTGAGTGTGTGCGTGCGTGTGCCGTGTGTAGATTGTGTGTGTGGTTTTTTGAAGTCTTCCCCCATCCATACTCTAGTAAAACCTTGAGATATGTCAACTGTATGTCTGAAACATGATTCTTTTCCTAATGTAACTGAAAAACAAAGCCAGTCTTCAGTCCTGTTGATGTTCTCTAGGCATCAGGTTCTTAAAACTGAATCTTTATACAAAGCTGAATAAATTCCAGTTTTTAACTGCCGTGAAAAGAGACAAAATAGAAACTATGGTGCTGGCTTATATACTGACTACACTAAACCCTCATCACTATTTTAAAGTAGGCTACTACCTTTGTAAAAGGGGAAAAGTCATCCATTATAAAGCAGCCTCAGGGCAGATTCCAGAAGAAAAGCATTGCTTACGTTTTGTTTGATTTTGGTTTTGGTGTGTGAGTGTCTCTGTCGCTACACAATTTAACTGCCTCTGCAAGACCTTCCAGTGGGACAGGCCTAGGCTAATAGATGCATGCATGCATGTACGCCTGTTTGCCTGTGCTTATGTGCACGTGTCTTTTTAACCAAATTTTAAGCAAATTTTTAAAGTTTAAAATTTATATGATAATAAAAATGTATTTTTGTACACTTGCACATTGTTTTAAGCCAGTTTTTATATGCATAAGAGCCAGCTAAGCTGAGCAGTGGTGGCACATTCCTTTAATCCCAGCACTCGGGAGGCAGAGGCAGGCAGATCTTTGTGAGTTCGAGGCCAGCCTGGTCTACAAGAGCTAGTTCCAGGACAGGCTCTAAAGCTGCAGAGAAATCCTGTCTCAAAGAAAAAAAAAGGAAGGCAGGCAAAAATATCAAGTTTCCAGTGTGGCAAAATATACCTGCAATCTCAGTACTGGGAGGCTGACATAGGAGGTCACAAGGTCAAGGCCAGCTTGAACCATGCAATGAGACTGTCTCAATGCTCGTCCTCCAAAAAAGAAAGAAAGAAAGAAAGAAAGAAAGAAAGAAAGAAAGAAAGAAAGAAAGAAAGAAAGAAAGAAAGAAGAAAGAAAAGAAAGAAAGAAAGAGAAAGAAAGAAAGAAAGAAGAAAGAAAGAAAGAAAAAGAAAGAAAGAAGAAAGAAAGGAGAAAGAAAAGAAAGTGTAGATCTAATGTAGCACAGCCACCTCTCATCCTACCCCAACCTGTAGCTGGCAACCAGGCTGCCCTAAGATTACTGCTGCTCAGCCCTAGAGAAACTCCTTTCTGCTGTGTGTGTGTGCGCATACGTTAATATGTGTTAGCCTAAGTGACTACTAAATGCTCAGCCATAAATGGAATATCTCTAGGACCTCCCCTAAGGCCCAAGGAACATCACAGAAGGGCTACGAGGGCAAGGGAAGTCACTTTCCTCAGTGGTCAGTTGCCCATGTGCCAGGGAATAAGCCACATTCATCCTCATGTGAGAAACCCTGGTAGATGAAGAAACTGTCTGGGGAAAAGGATTTTAGATGCGAGATGAGGAGGAGGTACATACGCATGGCCGAGCTATACTACACACATGGATGAAACTCTCAAGGAATTAAGAAGAAAAGTTCTCAGGAATCAATATTTGTGCCCTGACGCACTTGGAAGACGTCCTTATAGGCGGTGCCAACGGCAGTGTGAAACGCAAGCCTAAAGTTCAGGGAAGAAAAAGGTAAAGACCACAGAAATTTGGCAACTGAGATTTGGCTCACTGTTTCCTGTGGTTATCAGAGCAAACACAACAGAACCAGTCAGCTTGCCACCTGGGGATCTGCAAACCGCTAAGAGTTTATGAAGAACTAAGGCGGGAAACGTACGGAAAGTTTTCTAACTATTCTGGCAGTAACTGCAGAGTCTTATCACAAAGTGAACAGTGTTTCCAGCATGAGGTTCCAAGGGCTCTAATATTACAACAAAACAGGATGTGAAACACGCTGGCAGAAAGAAAATAATCTGTCAACTAAATGGTCAGCAAATCAGTAAAATCTGGCTCATTAAAGTCTGCCTAGGTCTGCTCTAACAAATAGAATTTATTTTGAAAAAAAGGGTAATTCATAAACAACGGGTATTTATTGTTCACAGTTCTGAAGTTGGGAAGCCCAAAATCCAAACACTAATATTCAAATCTGACGAGGACATTTCTAACTAACAGTGCCTTCTGTTAACGTGTTCACATGACAGATGCTGCCAAAACCCCATAAAGTCTCTTTTTTAAGAAGCACTAATTCCACCCATGAGAACAGAGCTTTCCACAGGTCTGACTTTATTATATTTCAGATTAAGTTTGTTTGTGACTGCAAAACTCCATGCCTGACTCACAGGAGTCACATGCTTTCCCGGTGACACATAAAATTCCTCTCAAATCAATAAAAAAAAAAAAAAAAACCAGAATTAACACAAAAGAAGTGTAAAAACGATAGATCTGAAAAACCAATTTCTTTGCTTTGTTTCTTTAAAATGACAGCTCTAGTCCAAGATTCTTTACAGAAAGAACTTAGGAGTAAACCAGCCACCCTGAGCCAGGCATGACAGCCAACACCTGTAACCCCAGCAGGAGGAGGCTTGAAGCTCGGTTAATGAAGATTCGGAGACAGATATTGGGGTTCAACCAGAAAAGCAAAGCAGCCAGCCTCTGGCTCTTACCTCGACCTCAGCCCAAAGAATGGCGATCCTGCCTCCAGGAATCTCAGAATGAGGCTGAGCCTAAGAGCTGTCTCCTCTCATCTTATAATCCTCTCTGTTCTGGATCAAGGGCGTGCACCACTATAGCCTAGTTTCTATGGCAAGCTAGTGTGGCTGCTGGGATTAAATGTGTGTCACTGATGCCTGCTCTGTAAGGCTGGCCAGTGTGGCTGTTTTACTTTTCTGATCCTCAGGCAAGCTTTATTTATTAAACATAAATATAAAATATAAGATGCCACTACAGAGGCTGAGGCCTGAGTTGTTACCATGACTTTATGACCAGCCTCTTACATTACACAGTAAGTTCTAGAAAATTCTGAGCTACAGTGTGAGACTCTAAATAAAATCCTGCCTTCACGATAGAGAGAAAAACAAAAAACTTAAAAACCAAACCAATTCAAATGAAGTGGTGTTTTTCCTGTTGTATACATGTGTGTGTATTGTTATTTACATACATGTGTGTGCATATATATACACACATATGTATACACACACAGCTAGAGAGATGGCTCTGTTTTACTTAAAACCTTTTCATTTATTAATGAATTTTGCTGGATATTTTATAGACAGTATCCTTAGGGAAACTGAGGTAATGCTGGTTTTTTTAAGTTCTTAAGTATTTAATGAACATTAGACCATGGAGACCAGACTGTACAGAAATATAATGCAAGTCACTTACACAATTCTAAATGTTCCAGGCAGCAGCTACATCTTGAAAGTTCAAAAAGTGACTAATTTTTATAATATATTATTTTATTTATTTAGATTTGTTTATCTTGAGACTGGTTCTGCTTTATAGCCCAAGCTGACCTAGAACTTATGGTGATCCTTCTGCCTTCAAAGTGCTAGAGTTACAAGCATGGTCCAGAACATAGAGCTATTTTATTCAATTTAAAAAAAGTCATTTCAAAAAAGAAAACATCATTTTAACACGTACTCAAGTTTTCTTAAAATTAACGTTATATTACCTTTTTCAAAACAAGCCTTCAAAATCTGGTATAGTTTACAGTTTACACCTAACAGCAAGTCTAAGTCAGACGAGGCACACTGCAGTGCCCAGCAGCCGTGGGGTCAGTGCTAAAACACTAAGCAGTAGAGCTCTAATGTGGACATTTGAACTGGGGTAACAGAGACTCATGGTAATTATATTTTAAAAACAAAAATATACCTCGTATAAAAATGGTTCTGTTTTATCATTGTAGTATCTCTCTCCTTGAAGGATATGCTAAATAGGAAAACTGAAGTAAGTAAAAGGAAATAAAGATGGCTAAAACAAAACTTTAAATCAAATAGGTAGTTCAAACTTTAAAACAATACTATCTTCCCCTGAACTAAAATGCACCATCACACTTGAGACTCACCTCCTCAAATTCATCTCTGCCAAGGCCTTTGTATTCTTAATATGAAAAACACATTTTAACACAAACCAAAAAAAAGCTGTCCTATTTTAACTTAAGTCTATCAATTATTAACTTTCTTCAAACAAATCTTTGACATTGGACTGAACCATTTCTTCACATTTTTCTGAGGCTGCTGCGTACATTTACTTTTTTAAAGAAATAGTTGCAACAAGACCATGTAAAGGAAAATAATTTTCTATTCTCATGTTTCTTACATTTTAATTTTCTAAAATATTGCCCCCATTTTTGTGTCTCTTAAATCAGACAGTTAAAGACACATTTAGAGTAGAATCTCCACGTGGGAAGGGAATCAATCACATATGCTTAAGAACAGTGTCTTACACTGTGGTATCACAGGCAGCAATTCTGTTGATTACTGTTTCTTTAGACTTGTAAAACACACAACTTCCTTACCAACTCCTGCAGAGGCCAGCAAAACGGGGTGGGGGATGTTAGGTCTTCAGGTATGACACTTCATTTGGGTTGTTGTTGTTGTTTTTAATAAAAGTAAATATATCTTCCCTCTGGGCCTTTTGAAAAGTCAAAGTCACTCACAGTGACATATCTCCTAATCTTTTCCAAGACAGTCCCACCAATTAGGGACCAGAAATATATGATCTTGTAGGGCATTCTCAAACTACCACAGGAGACTACATCTGATTTCCAAACCTATTACAAAACTATAATAAATAAGTGTAGCCAGCTGCGTGGTGTCACACCTGATGGAGATGTATAATCAACTCCTGAGATGGCTAAGGCCTGACCTATGCTATGATCACGCAATGATTATCAGCTGCCTGCATATGCGTGAACCTGTGGGCAGTGGCCACCTGGCAGTTCGGGGTTGGCAGCCCATGCCTACTTAAGGGCTGAGAGAGGTTTGCCCGGGGAGAGGGAGAGAGAGTAAAGAGAGACGGGAAAGAGAGAGGAAGTGAATAAAATCCTGGAATAAACTGCAGTGAGAAGAGCTCCGGTGGTCGCGGCATCCTTGCAGGTCGAGGGTGGCCGTGACAAATAAGGCAATACCGTACAACCTTAAGACCAAATACTAGATGAACAGAACAAAATGGAGTGCAGACACAGACCCAGCATCTGTAAACAACTGACATTAGCTAAAGTGTCTAAGTAGTTATGGAAGAGTAGCTGATCAGGCAAAGAAAAGAGCTGGATGTGGCCCACGCCTTTAATCCCGGCACTGGGGAGGCAGGGGATCTCTGGGACTTGGAAGCCAACTTGGCCCACATAGGGAGTTTCTGGACAGCCAGAGCTATACAACAGAGAGGCTCTATCTCAAAGAAATGAAACAAAAATAAAAGAGTTATTTTAACCAATGCTATAGAACAACCAAACATGCACACAGCTGTCTGAAACTCCAGTTCCAGGAGATTCAAGGCCCTGTCTGACCTCAATGAGCATCAGGCATGTATGTGGTATACATACAGACATACATACATGTAGGCAAAACATTCATACATATAAAATAAAATAAAAATAAATCTTAAAAAAATTTCTCAAACTCTGGTCTTGTACACATACAAGTAAATTCAGTATCAACTGAACCAAGAGTTTGAGGGGAGCCACAAATATCATGAGGAGTCATCTCTCTAAACAACAACAAAGTAAAAGTAAAAGAAAATACGGAAGACAGTTTACATGAACTTGGGTTACCAAATGCACAATCCACGGAAGTACAACAGTAAGCTATTCCTTCATCAACATTTAAAACTAGGTGATGAGAAGTCAGCTCGGTCAGGAAAGCCTATGCTGAGTCTGGACCCATCTATTACCCAGGTCAAAGCTCGGCATGGGGCCGATGCCTGCAACCCCAGTGGAGGGTGGGAAAGGGAGGACACTGGCAGGCAGATCCCTGAACTTCCTAGCCAGATAATCAATAAACTTCAGGTTCAGTAGACTGTGACCCAAAAAAATAAAAGTGGAAATCACCAGAGAAGTCAACATCAATCTCTGGCCTCCACCTCCAAACATGCACCTCCATAAATGTGTACCCACAACGTACACACATCACAAATACACAAACTTAACTTCTGTTCTTCAAAAGATATTTTTAAACGTTTTTAAAATTATTTTTATTTGGGCTGGAGAGATGGCTCAGAGGTTAAGAGTACTGGTTGCTCTTCTAGAGGTCCTGAGTTCAATTCCCAGCAACCAAATGGTGGCTCATAGCCATTCATAATGAGATCTGGTTCCCTCTTCTGGCCTGCAGACATACATGCAGGCACAACACTGTATACATAATAATAAATAACATTAGTAGGAAAATACAAATTAATTTGTATGCACTACTGGAACTGGAGAGAGGCCTCAAAAGCTAAAAGCACTGGCTGCTCTTCCAGAGGGCCCAGGTTAAGTTCCTAGCACCCAGTTGACAACTTACAACCTCTGTAACTCCAGTTCCAGGCAATCCGACCCCTTTCCTGACTTCTGCAGGTACATGATGATCAGACATACATGCCAGCAAAATTCATACACATAAAAGTAAATGAATCTTTTTTTAAAAAATGCACTATTGCTAGACATGGTGGCAGGTGCCTATAATCTCTGAACCTGAGAGATGGAGGTGTTTGAAAATTTTTAAGTGAAAGTAATAAAATAAAACCACACACTATCAATGCCTATTAAAATGGCTAAAATTCAAAGCCACAATCATGGTCTGGGCATGTAGTTCAGTCTTCAGAGTGCTTGCCTAGCATGCATGAAGCCCTTGGTTCAGTCTCCTGCACCTCATAAACTGTGGTAGCACACACCTGTAGCACAGGCTCCATGAGACCCCATCTCAGAAAAAAATGTCTGATCATCTGAAATGATAGGCACAGCCATCCTGTTCTGACTCCATTTGGGTCTGCTGAGACACTTCTCAGCCCTCCCCCCACAACAGTGACGTCTGTCCTGGCAACACATTTGCGATTTCCGTGACCCCGACGTGACTCAGCTCTACTGACAAAAGTAAGGTTCATACGAACATGAACGAAAATAACTGAAGAAGGCAGTCAAGAGTAATTGTCAGTCAGGCGGAGGTGGCACACACCTTTAATCCAGCAGTCGGGAGGCAGAGGCAGGTGGATCTCTGAGTTTGAGTCCACCCTGGTCTACCAAGTGAGTTCCAGGACAGCTAGGGCTATTACACAGAGAGACCCTGTCTTGAAAAACCAAAAAAAAAAAAAAAAAAAAAAAAAAAGTAGGGATGGAAGCATAGGCCAATGTACTCAATCCCAGCCCTGAAAAATAAATAAAACAAAAATGATAGTTTTGCCTTAATAATTCATAAGATTCAAGAAGGATTTAGAGTCTGCTATACTAAGAAAATGAATCTCAAGCGCTATTAGCTGAAGGTAAACCTTAGTCTTGGACTAACCTCCCAAAGAAATTCCTGAATGTCTGTGTAGTAATTCTGGAACACAAGGGGTCAGAAACTAGGAAACTATACGATAACAGGAAGAGAAATGTCCAGCAACCTCACTCACCGATTCTGCTCCTCCAGCTTAGCCAGGAGTTCTAAGTCGTCTGGACTCAACTTTGAAGGGGAGGCCGGCGAAAGCGCTGGTGTTGACAGTGTGGTGGATGAGGATGTCGTGTGTGATGATGCAGATGGACTGGCCACCTGACTGGCCATCTGACTGACGGTATGCGAGACTGTGTTCTTCACCCATGAGAGAGTAGAGCTCAGCTTTTCCGCCACCTTGTCTGTCGCCACCTGAGGGACAGAAGAGAAAGCACATTTTAGTTGTGTTGCGATCGATGTGGGAGGCCCCTCTGTATGCTGTGAATACAGTTTGTTATCACTGGTTAATAAAGAAGCTGATGTAGCCAACAGCCAGGAAGAAGTCGAAGTCTGGGAGACACCAGCAGTCGCTAGGGAAGCAAGCTGTGAGGTGACAGTCACGAGACTCACTAATGGAAACAGGTTAACTTAAGTTGTAAGAACTAGTTAATGATAAGACTAAGCTAACGCCAAACAGTTTGTAATTAAGATTAAGTCTCTGAGTGGTTATTTTAAAAGTGGCTGCAGGAAAGGGAGAAACCTCCAGTTACATGCAATCATTTCCACAAACTTGGTGACCCCGCTAAGTTTGACTCAAAATTCACTGAGGTGATGGGGGTTAAGCCTGTCTTTGCTACCATTATTCTAACATCCAGACTTTGGAACTTTCTTTCTTCATCTTTCTTAAGATCTACTCATTTCTATGTTAGGTGTTTGCCTGTATATATGTATATATACCACATGCATGTCTGTTGCCCTCAGAAGCCTGAAGAGGGTGTCAGATCCCCTAAAACTGGAGTTAAACATGGTTGTGAGCTGCCATGCCAGTACAGGGAACCAAACTCAGGTTCTTTACAAGAACAGCAAGTGCTTTGTAGACCAGGCTGGCCTTGAACTCACAGAGATCAGCCTGCTTCTGCCTCCCAAGTACTGGGATTAAAGGTGTGCACCACCACCACTTGGTACAAACACTGTTCTTATGAAGAGCTTCTGAGCTGGCAAAATGGCTCAGCCGACAATATACTTGCCATGAAAGCCGAGCATCTGCGTTTGATCTTCAGAATTCACACAGAAAGTAGAAGCTGAGGACAAACTCCATAGCTGTTCTCTGTCCTCCATACCATGGCACACATGCCCATGAGTGTAAACATATACAGACACACACAATAATTTTTTAAAGTCTTAGCTGTGACATATGTAGCCTTAAAGATTACAAGCCATGCAGTACTTGTATGATCTTCGAGATCTCAAATCTTATGTGACAGGGAAAAAGTTATCTTCTGAATAACTTAATGCCAGCCACCCTTAAATTTATGTATAATAATTCATTCACAGACACTAAAACACAATGCATGAAAAAAAAAAAAACCACAATGCATGTACCAACATCTGCTCCAACTTCTGACAGTAAACAGTGCTCTCACGGATTGTCCAAAGCTATGAAATGGTGCTCTCTCCCCACATCCTAGACTTCTACCTAGGATGAAAACTATGCGGGAACAGGATAATATGGAAAATAATTCTAAGACATATTAAGCCGTTCAACATAGCAGTGAAGCATCTAATACAAGAAAGATTCAGCTTCAAGAACTGAGGGGCAAGGATTTTACCCCAAGCTACCTCTAGCTTCTGTTTAGCTTTCTGTCCCCTCCCTACTAGAATTTCTTTCCTTCTGGATTAGTATTACAAAAGAGGCCATATGACCATAGTTACTGAGGAGAACGCTCACAAGAATAACAAGAAGGATCGACCCATAGGAAAGAAGCATGGGGCAGATTATTTATTCAGTTTGCTTCCTTCCAGATATCTCACCCAACCCCCAAACAATTGCTGCCAACTCACAGATCAGCGCAGATCACTACAGGAAGAAATAATACTCGAGGCAGCTGGGCATTGGTGGCATAAACCTTTAATCCCAGCACTTGGAAGGCAGAAGCAGACGGATCTCTGTGAGTTCGAGGTCAGCCTGGTCTGCATAGTGAGATCCAGAACAGGCAGGATCTCAGAGAAAACACCTTGGAGAAAAAAAAAAAAAAAACTAAAGCCAAGTAGAAATCCAACTAAGCAACAAGAAGGTGATGTTACTCTAGTGACCCTTCCTATAAAGAAAAACCTACACATTACTACAAATTGTGACATGACAGTAATTTGCATTCCAAAGGCACAGAGTAATATTTAAAGCCAGAAAACTTAACATATGGTCAGAGAGGCTCCAGAGATGACAGAACTATGGGTTACTGCCGTCACTCTTGATTGCCCACCAGAACTAACTTGTAAGAACCTACTGCTGAAGACGCCACAGACAGCCGCCGGGCGCAGGACAGAAACAAAGCTGGAAATGAGCTGGCAGCGTCTTCCCTGAGGCTCACTTGCAGTATTGGAAGGTGCTGTGTATGCTACTGTGAGGTAGAGACAATGTCACCAATAGTTTCACTTGTGGACCTGACTGTTACAATATCAACCCGCCAGGGAGAGGTAGAGACAATGTCACCAATAGTTTCACTTGTGGACCTGACTGTTACAATATCAACCCGCCAGGGAAGTCTGCCCACTGGAGCAATCATGGTATGTCCGCTATGCGGATAGCTACCCACTCTCTACTTAGTGCTCCCACAGGAAAGAACTCACGCCTAGCACTGTAAATCTGGTCACCAGCCCATGGCTGGGAAGGCCCTAGCAAAGAACTTACTATTGTTATTTTGCTAAATGGACACAGTGTCAAACTGCCTTCAAGTACTAATGTTTACACCACAGGAAAGTGCTGACCTCAGGCTGTCAGTGAAGCTTCTCCCTGCAGTGGGCAGTGTAACACACTCACAATTAGTAAAGTGCTGGGAATAATGGAGTGTGGCGTGCCTGACCTTAAACTGGACATCTATAAAAGCCCCTCTGAAGTTCAGGAGATATATGGAAGATGTAAGAGGCAGGACGGGAGCTGAGAATAATGATGCTTTCTGGGGTTAATGAGAACGCTTGGCAGGTCAAGTCGCTAGTTACCAATTCTAACAACCTGAGATCAAGCTCTAAAATCCATAAAAGGCCAAGCGTCAAGTGTGTACCCACATATACAAAACACATTTTGAAAAAGAACCCTAGTGTGAAAAAGTGTCTTCTAGACCTGACGGTCATTGTCCTCATGACCACGACAAAGTCCTGTCCACGACTGGCGCCGTCACCATTTCATCATGGGGGGGGGTGGCGGGGCTCAGGGAGCTGATCCACCACCCACGGTTCAGCTAATGGGGGTAGGGATGAGGAAGGGGTTGTTTTCATTTGTATAGCCTGATAAGTTGTCCGTGTTCCAAAAAAAATAACCTGACACTCATGCAGGCAACAATATTTAAGCTCTCAATTATCATTAAATTATTAAATAATAAGTTAAATATTAAACTATCCTCTCTCCCACTCCCATGCACAGATGAAAAAGTGGGGGGAGGAGACTTGTTGGAAGGAGAGCTTAAGCAGGGGAGGTAAGAAAGGAGGATACAAAGAAACAAAATTCATCATACACACGTATGAGATTGCCATAAACATACCATCTCCTAATGCAACCACTAACTCAGAATATACTCAGTGAATTCCAAGCAGTCATCTTTATAATCCTGTTAGAGAGAAGTCCCTAACGGAAGTGAATTATTGCAAAGGCAAAAGCAATCTACTATTTGTTCTAATTTATTAAAATGAATTACTTTACCATGCCTCTTCTGTATACTGTAGCAACAGGCCTCCATTTAGAGAGTTTGGAATAACCAAAGGCATAATTCTGACATCCACTCGACCTTAAAGAAATGAGATTCGGGCTGGAGAGATGGCTCAGAGGGTAAGAGCACTGGCTGCTCTTCCAGAGGTCCCGAGTTCAATTCCCAGCAACCACATGATGGCTCACAACCATCTGTAATGAGACCTGGTGTCTTCCTTGCCAGTAGTACATTGTATGCTTAATAAATAAATAAATCTTAAAAAAAAAAAAAAGAAATGAGATTCGGCCTCAGCACTAAGTAATGCATTAATATTACTATTTTCATAATTTCACACATTCTATGTAATTTAATTATCTTTCATACTGACTATGCCCTAACCTCCCTGGATCATGAACCTCACAATGCAAACATGTTGCAAGTTCTTGTCCACATCACAGACATGCTACATATTTATTCTTGTTGAAATAGGAAGCGGCCGCGGGGCTGCGTCCCCAACACCCCGGCCGCTTGGCTAGCTTATGCCCGAAATAACAACACACAAACTGTATTCATTTAAGAACTGCTTGGCCCATGAACCCTAGCCCTTACAGGCTAATTCTCGCACCTGGACTAGCCCATTTCTAATGATGTATGTAAGCACCCCAAGGTGCGCTTACCGGGAAGATTCTAGCCTCCGTCCATCATGGTGTCTCTGCTCCAGAGCGCAGAGCTGTCGGGTCTCTCCGGGAGCAGAGCAGAGTCTGACCTCACTTCCTCTTCCGCCCAGAATTCTATTCTGTTTTCTCCTCCCATCTATGTTCTAAGCTATGAGGCCAAGCAGTGTGTTTATTACTTAACCAATGAAATCAACAGATTGATATATGACACTCCCACATCATATTCTGAGAAGTGAACACTCAAAATGTTAAAATATCATCAAAAAGGACAATTATACATTAAAGAGATACAAAGTACGATTCGATCTTTATGAAACTTCCAGAATGGGCAGATCCAGAGACCTTGACGGCTTAATGCTCTGTGTCACCTCCCACCCCTCTGCCCCTCAAGACACCAGTGCAGTCAGCTGGGATGAGGGCCAGGAAGGGTACGGGTTTATGGTCTTTACACACCATGACCCACTGACTCCCACCACACAACAGGCCAGAAAGGGTGCAGGTTTATGGTCTTTACACACCATGGACCCACTGACTCCCACCACACAACAGGCCAGGAAGGGTGCGGGGTTTATACACCATGACCCACTGACTCCCACCACACAACAGGCCAGTGTTCTGGTCTGGGGATCTGAACTTCCACACTGAGAGCTATAATCTGTACTGTCAAATCTGCCACCAATAGAAACTAGCTCTATTAACTCTGGAAGAACTAATTCAACACACCAAACACCTAGCCCATCTTGAAGGCTTTCAAGGGACCGTAACCTCACACCCTCTTTCAAGTCCAATAAGGATATCAACAGTTACGGTGCCAGGAACAAAAAGAGTAAGGCAGCCAGAACAGACAAGAGACCAA